TCGTCATTTGGTATGGATTACAAGTTTTGGGATCAAAAAATAAGTTTTTTTTTGTATTTTGGGATTCCATATATGATGTTTGTTTTAAGAATTTTTTTAGAATATTGAACCCCAAAAGTGCAAAAAGTACCCAATTTTTAGAATTTACCAAATCCTCTCAATTGGAGAGAATTTTGACAAATCTCATAAATGAGTGTGCTTCCCTCTCAATTGGAGAGGATTTGACAAATCTCAATTTTTTCATTTTGTGGGAGGTAAACTCACCAAGATAGCATATTCATCATATTTCAAAATTTTGACGTTTGGTAATGCTACAATTTGTACTCTTGAAACAAACAAAATATTACAAATTATATAATTCAAATTCCCAAAATATTAATAAAACAAACAACATATTAGAAATCTCAACCCATAACAAAACACCTATGGATTTCAAATCTCATGGTGAAATCCATATCCTAAAATTATAGGATTTGAAACAAACACACCCCTATCAAATAAAGATTCTGCTTATGCACTAGATTGTACATGTGTATTTCCTCGTGAGTTTGGTTGCGTGACCTATGAGTCTATCATTGAATTTAGTGTTGATCGACCTCTTTCCCAAAATTCAGGGGACTTACATGATCATTGGGCCAATTTTTTTTTTTTTTTTTTTTGCTAAAGTGGTTCAACCTTGCATTAAGGTGACCCTTAATCCCATTAATATTAATATTATATATGACGCAGGTTAAGCTACCATGATTAAGGAGTAAGGCGACGAAAGCAAGGTCTGTACATGGAAGAAGAAACGCCTCTCTTTTTGATGACAATCTCCATAGGTTCTTATACTTTTCATCCTCAAGTGCTTGCTACTTTTGTATTTATTAACCTATTTTAGTGGGAGCTATCTATTGTTGATGGGGATTTGTGTGTTGTTAATGACTTTTTGTATTCGTATTATGGACCACCTCGTTTATTAAACTTTAATTAATCAAGAGTACAAATTCTTTGCTTGCCCTTTAAGGGGCAAACTTGAAAGGGGAAAAAAAAGAGTTCAAACTCAGAAATGCCCTTGTGGTTTGCGCTGTAAATCTATTAAGCTCCCAGACTATTATTTGGATCTATTAAGCCCCTATGCTTTTTATTTTGAATCTATTTAGCCCCTATGGTGTTTCTTCATAACTAAAAAGGGTATTTTTGATTATTGAATCTACTTTTAGCTATGGAGAAATATCATAGGGGCTAAATAGATTCAAAATAAAAAGTATAGGGGATTAATAGATCCAAATAATAGTCTGGGGGCTTAATAGATTTATGGCGCAAACCATAGGGGCCTTTCTGAGTTTGAACTCGAAAAAAAACCCTGTGAGGTGTTGCTAGCTAACCCATGGGAGGCCCCTTAATTAATTTGCATTTTTTGTTATGGCCTTTCAGCCAGTAACATTTGAGATCAATGAGAGAAGACTTAAGGTTTTCAGGAATGTGTTGAGAGAGAATCTAGCTAGTACCTGAATGATTATAGACTTGTGTTTGAACTAGGCCATTATTGCCTGTGGGAAGTTAATTTAAGGCTAGATATCAGAAAACCCTTTATTAACTCTGGACATTAATTTTCGGACAACCCTAATTAATTTTGAAAATATCATAACCCCCCCTCCTCATGTTTAGTGACTTTTAAAAGCGCGGGGTTGGGGTGGGGGAGGAGATAAAAACTCAAAGTTAGCGGAGATTTTCTGATAAAATCTTAAAGTTAAAGGAGGGTTTTTTTGATAATCCCTAACTTAAGTTGGGGTTTTTGATATTTTGAACGTGATGTGGGGTTTTTTTTTTCATAATCATCCAAATTTAGAGGGGTTTTCCGATATTTAGCCTTAATTTAAGTCATAAACATCAGCAATAAAAGCTGATATGCTATTCAGAAATTACAGGAAAGATGAAAGGATGAAAACCTTTTATTATTCCATTTATTTCCAGACTTCTACTCCTCTATACAAATGTGAAAACCAAAGATTTACTATTCATACTACAGGAAATTATACAATAGTGTTTTCTATAGCATTATTACTGTAGCATACATGAAACGTGATATTGTAGTATTTTTTGAAAATATTGTTGTAGCACACAAGAATACTGCAACATTTTTAAAAAAAAATTTACTGTAGCAGAGACGGAATACAGTAGCAATTCAAATAAATATTACTGTAGTATTTAAAACTGAATTGTTGTAACGGGAAAAAACTAACATGCCGTGCTTTGCAAGGTTCTCACTTGTTCGTTTAATAGAAAAATGTACTCTTATTAATAATTTGATGTCCGTTGTTGGACCAGTCCGATGAAGCTATATTTTTTTAGCAGCCCAAACTCCAAAGGCCATATATTCAATGGCAAATGGGCTAACTTACCAAACTAGACCCACATCCTAACTGAGGGACTAATATTCCAAAGGCCATATATTTCTACAGGGCCTAGTAGCCTATGGGCTAGGCTAAAAATTAAAGCCCGAAGAATCTAGGGGCTTACACCACGGGCTGATTTTTGGAAGTACACGGGGTTAGGTTCCGACCGGTGGTTGCCCAAAAGACAAAAATAGAGTTAGGTTCTCAAGGAGGTATTAGGGCCCGATTGGATGGGGTATTTTGCACCGAATTCAGGAGGAAAGCTGTCAAAATGATAGATTTTTGACAGCTTTTCCTCAAAATCGTTTCTTTATCCAATCGGGCCCTTATCGTCTTAATATAGAACACCAAGAAGATTCCACGCCGACGAAACTCTTCGAAGATGATGAAGCCATTGAGAAAAAACACAAAGTTGACGGTGGATTCCCAAGGTTTTGAGTAACGAAAGAGTTTCTAAAAGGTTAAGAAGTTGGACTCCGGAAAAAATTCTAGAGGGAAAAAAAAATCGAATTATTGAAAAGTGCAACACTATATTTTGTATTGCATATGTCATATATAAAGATTCGAAAGCTGACAAGCAGTATGTTCTGAGCCAATATATTCATGGAGAAAATTGTTAAGACATTTTGAATGTTCAGACTATACCTGCAAACTTATTGCGATAGTGACATTTTTAAAACTTTTGGGAGTTATATTAAAAATGTCCAAATTTATTAGGAATTTCGAGATTTACCCTTACTTTTCTTTTCTTCTTATTAACATGGAAACTCATCTCGATGCGTACAGCATGATGGCTCTCAAGTTTTCCGTCTGCGAAAAGGAAAGAAAAAATAGCTATATTCCATGTCAGGATCAAAAGGGTGACATCTGGTCCCTTATGCTTCAAGCAACTGCTCAATTATTGCACAGATATGCTGGGTAGTTTTCCCATTAAGCCCCCCCAAACATTTTTAAGTGTCATCTTTTCCAAAATTTTATTTTTGTTAATATATTTGTTCCTATACGACAAATTTTTTTTCATGAAAAAACACTTCAATTTATTACTTGAGCAACTAGGAAAATAAAAACTACAGTTTTTTTTTGATAAAAAGATGGCAACTTAAAACAACTATTTGAAATGATAATAGTTGCATGTAGGATCACCTACGTCACAAATTCTAATAGTCACGGTGTGTCTTTGGACAAACAAAAAAGCTTGTTTTCATTTAGGTCACGCATCAACTAATTATGACCATAAACCTAAAAGACGGTGACATTAATTCAGTGAATAATTCTTAAATAAATATACTTCTTTTTTAATCTTTTGCTCATATATCAGAAAACTATCCTCGGCCCATTAAGAATTTTTGTTGAATCTTGCTTCCTGTTTCATTAACCTTAATCAACTTTTCATTATGCGGATAGCCGCATAAATTCTATTCGATCTGAACCATATAAAGTTCCAAATAGTGAATTTTGAAGTTGTCTTCATCGACTCATTATATATCCAATTTTAAATTTGTAAGCACGTTCGTTAGTGAACTGTAATTTGAGAACTTTTATTTTATTTAGAAAATGTATCTTGGAACATATATACATTCGCATTTGTATCTGTATTTGTATTTGTATTTGTATTTGTATTTGTATCGGCCATTAGTAAAGGGTTGCATTTCTATAATAAATGCCGTACTTTATATCCATATCATCCAGACAATAATTTAACACCTTAATTAGCTCTATTAAATGTTGGGTCCCACACATCTACGACGGAGCCCCCAGTTTTGATCAGGAATTTTGCGCGGAAGAAGCATCGATCATGCGGATATTTTCGTCGCGGGTGGGATTAAATTATTCGCCATTTTTTAACGCTAAGACTCTTTTAACGCCCACGTGCGATTAAAATTATTCGCCATTTTTTTTTGAAGAAGAGACCTCTACAAATTCATATTTGCAGATTTTGCCGATCTAGAAGAGCCGGCGGCGGAACAAAATAAGGAAAAACAGTAGGAAGAAGAAAGTGAATTTGAAATTTGTTCGGTGGTGGAGCCTATATTATTAGAAATTGCCCCTCATCAAGGGGGGTGTTTGGCAATCTGAAAGTGAATTTAAAATATGTAAGTTTTTTTTTTGCAAATAATTTTTACATCCGTATCAGTACGTAAGTGAAATACAATGTTTGTTTGAAAAATTAAATTATTATCGAAAGTACAATGTGAAGATGACGTGACAAAATAAGATTAATTAGAAAGTATAATTAAAATAATTTAATTAAAATAGTTAACTTTTTATTACTTTGATGTGACTTCACCACTTTTTTAGGGGAAGTTAAAATTATATTAAATCATATGTGGTTACTTTTTTGCATCTTATTTTCATAATCACTTACATAAAAACAAACACCTTAATTGTTAAATAAAAATATCTTTCCTATTTTTATCTTTCACTTTGCAGGCAAATAAACACCCCCCCACAAGCCAAGAATGCTTTTAAGTCCACACTTACATGCAAAATCTCCAAAACCTCCCCTCTCCTTCTCCTCACTTCTCCGGGGCCCACCATTTGAACAAACCCCAACCAACAATCTCCCGCCACGTGTCTCTAATTCTCCCCAGCAACAACCCCCCTCG